TATGTATGAAAGTTCTCCTCACAAGGAAAAATTATTTTTCTATTTTTTTAATTTTGTATCTATATGAGATGATAGATGTTCACTAAACTTATGGTGATAATCATTTCATGATGTGTGTGAGTCAAATCCTTATGCTGTACACCTTAAACTTATACAGTGCTGTATGTCAATTACATCTCAGTAAAACTGGAAGAAAAAAACCCTTGCAATTATTGAGCACTATGGTATGTCAGGCATGAAAGCAGGTACTTCTCATAGGCTGCTGCCCAAGCTAGAGATGCAAAAAGGCAAGGTAACAACAGAGTCACAGAACAATAGAATATCACAAGGACAGATAGGTTAGAAGTGGATTTATTTACAGAGAAACACACTCCACAGACAGAGCGTGGGCCATCTCAGAAGGTGAGAAAAGGCACAAGGACAGAATTTGTAATACTCCTCTTTTGCTGTTGACTAAACAGAGCCTTGGAGAGGTTAAATCCTAGTAGAACAAAGATTCCTTTCAGATAGAATTCCACATTCCATGCTGTATCAATTATATTATACAGCCTTGCCATAAAAACAAGAAAAAGATTTGTTGAGAGTGACCATAGCCACACTGCGGAATGCTGGAGGCTGATTTCAGTGATGTGAATCCTGTGACACGGTGACAGGAGAATTTACGGCTGACGTCCTTAAAACTTTCGTGGGGAAATGAGGCTAAGTTTTGAGACGTCTTGAGCGATCCCATGAAAGCCCTAACTTATATACATTTACATACACATGTAATAACATATAACCTGTATTACATTCACCAAAACATACGGATAAATGCAATACTTGGTTTTTTGTGTGATGAAGACTGTTACAATCTACTCTCTTAGCAGCTTGCAAATTTGCAATACAGTGTTATTAACTTCAGTTGATATTAAGTACACTTAACTTTTAAAGCCTATCAGTAATATTTTGTCTTAATCATGGATCCTATTTTATTAATTTTTATTTATTTTTATTTTCATCTGCTAGAAAATTTACAGGATCTCTGTCGTCCGCAATTTCTCCAAGATACTTAAAATTTTATTTTGTTTTGTTACAGAAAATCGGCAAATAGAGAATTTTTCTTTTGCCCGGGTCTATGATTTTTTGATTTGAAATTGTTATTTCACATTGTTTGCTTCCTTTTCTGGTTATAACATGCATAGCAACCCAGATGGCTCATACATAAACAATTTGAGTTATGCTTCTTTAAATTATTTAGGATAGCCTAGGAGTTTCCTGATACCCAGGACCATCTGTTTATTGCTCTATGTGTTACCTTCATGCTTAAGTGTGTGCTTTCAGCTTTTCCACGTCTTAACGTCTACCTTCCTTATATACATGGGAAAGGCTTCTTAGACCGAATTTAACCCTTTTGAGGCTCTGTTGTAAAAACCTTAATCCCAGCTTGCCTTCCATTTTATTTTTATTTTTTCTTGTTATTGCTATTCTCAGTAGTTGTGCTTCAACATTTGCAGAATGAATGTAGTCAGGTTTGAGTCTTAACTTGGCTCTGTACGTAGCTTGTCAACCTTGGGCAAGTTCCTTCACCTTGGTTTCTTCATCTGTGAACTGGAATATAATACCTACCTCATAGATTTGTTAAAATGTTTAGATGAGATAAAATACAATTCATTTAGCACCACACCTGCTGCATCATAAGTACGGGTTACTATTATTATTATTAACATATTTTGGAAAGAAAATTCTCATACTTACAAAAAGGTATATTCAGAAGTAAATTCAAATACCCTATATTAGAGTTTCGTGCAAGGGTTTTTTGGAAGGAATATGTTTTTCTCAAAGCATCTGATTATTTATACCACAAGCACGGTATATGTAGGTGTTACTACCTGATTGATTTAAGGTTTACTTTCAGTTCTTCTCATTGGATCCAAGGTGAAACTTTGGACCATGAATAGCTGGAAGGAAGTTTCTCCTGGCACCTGGCTGGGTTCTCTTCTGTTGCCCCTGATTACATGTTCCACTGTGATTTGCTTTGTAACCTCACCGTCCCATCTGTCATTGTTCCGTGTGGATTGAGCCTGTCCACATACAAGCTCCCCATGAAGAGAGACCAGAAACTGGTACTTCTCATCTTAGCCCCTGTGCTGGAGACTACCTGCAGTCCTCATGACAACCCTGTGGGTTAGGTAACTGTTTATTCCGAATTTTATGCAGATTAATATTTCTGAATCAAAAATCATCCCAGTTAAAAAAATATAAGTGTACTTATGTGACCAATGGAAAAGAAGAATATGATGAATCTGGATTGTTTTGAAAATTCAGGGCATATGGTTGCTATAGTTATGGTGTCAAAATGTGGTATATAACGAAGAGAGATACTTTGTGCAGCATTAGTCTGGTACATTGATCTATAAATCTGCCAGTGAGTTTCAAATATTCCTTTTTCTGTGTGTGTGTGTATGTACAGCTTCTATATGAAAAAAACTGAGCTTGAACAAGGATGCCAGTTTTAATGGTTGCCCAAAGAAACATGTAGTCACACATAAATCATTCATATGTGAACCAGTTCAGTGGGAAGTAACTCTGTACAGCTGCTTGACCCAAACATCTTATTTCCAGTTGCTTTAAAAGAAGTTTTAACACAAGTCCGTGGAAAGAATAACTTGTCTCTTTAATATACTTTAGATAGCAAAGCGTTAAAATTTCATACTGTTTCCATAGGTTAGGGTATATCCTTATGAAACTGAATCATATATTCTTGAATTATCTTCCATGATTTTTAGAATTACTTTTTATATATTTATATAAAGTAATTTATAATAATTTAATTCCATATACCTTACAGTAATTGTTTCCAAATTAAGAAAATGCTACATATAAAATCACAAATTTGTGTTAACACAAAATAGGAACCTTTATCCACATAAGATGATTCTTCTTTTTACTCTTTACTTTTATATCAGTGCCAATTAATTACAAAAGTAATACTGTGTCACAAAAGCTCCAACAATACATATAAGGTACAAGTAGAGTCGTTTGTCACTTCCTTGTCACTCCCAGCCTCCAAGGGTGGCCTCTGTTGACAGTTCAAGTGTGACCTCACAGACCTTTTTCTATGCTCCCGCAAACATGTAGATGCATTCCTGTAGAGTGATTCTCACATTCTTGAGAAATTAGAAGCATTGCTGTTTAAAAATAAATTTTAGTTTGGTGATGTTGGTCATTCTGCTAAAAGGAGTGATTTTCACAAACACTGAAACATCATTTTGTCATAGGCCAGCTTTCCAGGGAACTAGTTTGAAAGAATAATATTTTATACCAGGTGTAAAATCAAAGGTATTTAAGGGAAATATTTTCCCCTGGCTTTTCTGTATTTTGCAGTGCCCGTGGAGAGTTTGTGTATGAAGAATGCAGTATTCAGGGGAGGCGGAAAAACAGCTCGTGTCAACTAAAGTAATAAACTGAGTTAATCCTAAATTGACAATTTAAATCCCTTCAAAATAACTTGTTTCAATCAAGAAACAGTCTACCCAATCTGTCATCTCTTTTGAGCTTATTAGTAGTGGAATTTCTTAGGTGACTCTTTAAACCTTATGTCTGCAAGGTTCTCAAGTTATTGATGAAGATTTCCTGTTGCTGGGAAAACCAGCACTACTTGGTGTTTGATACTGTACGTCGCAGTAGTTATTTGGGGGGCAGGAAGAGTGTGCAAATGGCCAGCTGCTTCCCTTTGGGGCTGACTCTTCTATTCCCAGGCCCTTTCTGCCCTGATACACTTGTCACTGGGAGAAATATATACAGAAGATAGGGACTGAGCATCAGCATTCCTTTAAAAATTTCTGCTCAAATGAAATGCAAAACTACAGTTAGTAAAATATGTAAGAAAATGTGGACCTTTCCAGAGCATTTGTGACACAAAGCAATGGAGAAAGTGGATGTGAAAACTCAATTTCAGGTAATAGCTGTGAATGGTAATATCATTTTCCTAAGAATAGTTTAATCACATATCTCTTTTGAGATTTCTTTTAACTCTCTAAAAATTTTATTTTCAAATTTGAATTTGTCACTTGAATAACATTTCTTTTTTTTTCCTGAAGATAACTTTCTACAGGGTCTCCTGTGGTCAGGATCTTACTTTTTTTAAATTAATTAATTAATTTTTTATTGAAGCACAGTTGATTTACTATGTGGTGTTAGTTTTAGGTTACAGCAAAGTGATTCAGTTATACATATGTATATATTCTTAGGGATCTTACATTTTTTTGAACCAGATCTCTAGCCTCCTGGAGTTCATAGTCTCTCAGGGAAGATAGATAATTGGGCAAAAGCAATGGATTGTGCTGAGTTCAGTGCTGTGGGAGTTCAGGGCAGAAGCCTCTCCCTCATCAGTGGTGCAGAGTTGAGGAGGTGCTGTCAAGGAAGGCTTCCTGGTGGAGGTGACTCCCAAGGTGATAGGTGAGAGATGTTCACACATCAGTTGGGCAAAGAGCGGTAGTGGGCTTGGGGTGTGAGTAGCCAGGGGACTGTCAGTGTCTGCAAAACCTGGCTGTGAGAGAGACCTGAACATAGGCAAGTAACTGGTAGTTCAGTCTGGTTACATAGAGTAATTATAAATATTTATTGTGAAAGTAATACATGTTTGTCCTATATAAAATTTGAAAAATTCAAGAAACAAGAGAAAACATATACTGTCACTAATTTCAAGCTGCAGAGTTTACTGTGAACATTTGTCATGATTTTGTCATTTGTACACAGCCTGTTTGGTATAATTCCACTTTGTCTTAAGCAACAGATATGTATGTAGGCATAAAATGCATATACATATATGAAAACATATCTTAAGTAAAACTCGGATCAGGCCAAACATGCTATTTGTTACCTGCTTGTTTCACATTATAATATTATTATAATGTGAAAAAATTATAATGCCCCTGGATGCCATTGTATTTGAAAGTGAAATGTTTCATTTCTGTGAATAAAATATTTTTGAAGCTAACCATCTGGATTCTTCTCTGCAGGAAGAATGTTTCCTGAACCTGGAGGCTCCTATATCGAGGGTATGTGGGTACGACACGCCGTTCCCTCACATTTTTGAGCAGTTCTACATCCCAGACAAATGGAAGTGCTATGACGCCCTTCGAAAAATGATCAACTATTGACCACAGGTAAGTCTGCCCTGCGTTTTGAGAAAGCTAGTGAGTGTTCCTCACATTAACGTCCTGTTGATCAAGGAACAACCGTCATCAGTGTGTTGTCTTTTCATAAATGGCAACTTCCAGAACAAAGTGTGGATTTCAGAAAAAAAAATGTGAATTTATAGTAGTATGTTTACATTTAATAGAAATATATCAAGCATATGCATTATCTGATTTCTATAAAACAAATACATGCACATGTTAACATTGAATAATCGCTAGATGAAGATGCCGTCTGCCATGATCGCAAATATACCTTACCCTGTTGTTCCAACTTTATCCTCGTTTTTATATATTTTTATCTGCAATTTAAACCGTTCTTGAATAGGGTTAATTTCTGTTATTTAAAGATGGCTCTTCAGGCACCGTTAAATTGGACTCCAGTGATTTAAACTATATGATGATCCAGCGCATTATGAAATTTGCTTTCACGTTATCTTGAAAGATACGTTTGTTGAACAGGAAACCTATTTATTATGTATAAGGGAAATTGTTATTTAAAAAAAAAAAAAAATCCAGCACTGCTACCATTCCCAGAACCTTTCTTGGCAGGTGAATGTTTTAAAATTATGGCTAATAAGTGACATTTATTCATTGTGATTTTCTAGGTCATGCTTTTCTGTCCCTCTGGCAGTGTTATTCTAGCAAAAATGAATACCATTTAAAGTCTGTTAAGTTAGTTTTCAGGGCTTTAATATAGAAGATGCTATCACCAATACACTGATTTATTTTACCTTTGGCATTTTTGAAATGGTTCAAAATGCATAGATAGGGATTAAGTGCTTTACATTTTAATATCTAGGTTGTCCAAATAATAATAATACATTTTGAAGAACCATGATCTTTGAAAGGAAAGGGAAGAATAGGCTTTATATAATAGCCCATACTTTTTAAAGATTAGGAAATACTATGATTCTTGAATTCTGTGTATGGGTAGTAAAGCCAGCTCACCTCAATCCAAAGAGAGAGGTACCTTTACATTTGGGCACGTAGAGAAAATAATGCCCTCCGTCCACCACTATGATCCCCACCTTTTTGTAGTGCTATTCTATCCTCTATTCTGAGGATATTGTCATAGGCATTAGTAGGGCCATTAGTCTACATGCCCCAGTATTCTCTCAGACATGCAGAGGTAGACACTGTATTTCTGATGGCCTCTTAATGTCTGTGAGAGCAGCTAGCTTCTACAGTCTCACTTAAGCCTGGTTAGAGGACTTCCTCACTTTTATGTCCATCTTGTTCCTTGCATGGACCATCCGTAATGGAAAGACAAGGTAATACTCTGTGGCCGTGTCCTTGTTGCTTTTTTTTTTTTTTTCTTTTTTTTTTGGGGCGGTACGCGGGCCTCTCACCGCTGTGGCCTGTCCCGTTGCGGAGCACAGGCTCTGGACGTGCAGGCTCAGCGGCCATGGCTCACGGGCCCAGCCGCTCCGCGGCATGTGGGATCTTCCCGGACCGGGTCACGAACCTGCGTCCCCTGCATCGGCAGGCGGACTCTCAACCACTGCGCCACCAGGGAAGCCCCTGTTGCTATTTTTAAAGTAATCTTTAGGTGCTGGTTTTAAATTTGGATATGTATTTCTTTTTGAACCTAAAAAAAAACAAATTTAGACCTCTCATGAAAATACGATAAAAGAAGAGTAACTCCTCTATGCTAAAAGTTACATATGGCATTAAAGAAAGTAGTCATGCAGTTGAGAAAATCTGTATTTAATTCATGGTGGCCAGAGTGTCTATAATCGTTATTGACTTCTTTTACAGAAAAACCGGAAGATTAGGACTAGATACGGAAATATTTTTCTGAATTTTTAAATATTTCCTCTTCTTGAAAATAGAGTTTTTATGAAATGAACCGACTTGGATATTGGCTGGAAAATGATGAATTAATTATTGTATTCACATATATGAATTGATAATTTCCGTTAAGAGTTATTTCAGATTAATTTTTAAAAATATTCTGCATGGTAGGCTTATAAATTCCATTTAATTACGTCTGTAAATACTGGATGTGGGATACTATTCAATAAAGCAAAAATGAGGCTTTGTTTTTGCCTTTAGTAAAAAGAATTCTTGTGGCCGAGTAAAAGAGTGACGTAACTTGTTAATTCCATCTGAATGAAAGTGAAATGTTTAGAAATGCTGATTTTTCAACTTTATTGTATTTGGTTTCATTCTTCATGGCTCAGATAGTTGTATGTTGATGAAACTTCTGGAATGTTTTTCCTTGTTTTTCCCACTTGTCCCAACAAGGTGGTCTACTGGGGGGCATGCTCATCTTTCCTCCAGAGCGTGGTGAGGCAGGAAGGATCATCTTTGCTTCCGCTCTTTCTTTTTCTGGGACGTGGACAGCCTGAGCCTGTCTTTTGTTATAAAATCATCAAGCTTTTGCTGCAGTTTTTTGGGTTTTTTGGCCACGATGTTGCAAAAAAAATATTTTTTTCCATGTCCTTTATATTAATATGTAGCTGAAAAGAAAAACAGCATGAATAGCGACATAAGGAGGAAGCCTCCTTGCTGGGGACTTTGTCAGGGCCTCTTGTATCTGACTAGGCCTTTCCCACCCTTCACCATAGTGTAGACAACGGCCTCAGGGACCCCTTTGCAGAAGCCCTCACCCTCCGGCCCTGCCCTCAGAGGGGGTGCTCTCATCCCTGCCTTCCCTCCCATACACCCAAGAAGAGCTCTTCTCACCACTTCCAGCTGAAAGATTCCCCCACACACACACCCCAACAAAAATCAGAGAAATAGGGTCATGTAGTGTTTTCCTTTCTCTATAAACACTGGAAAAAATGGACATTTTTTTATGATTGCAAATGTATATATTACTTTAAAACTACAGTTTAAAAAGTTGTGTCCTGTTTATTTTTATCAGATGTTTGGAGGAGGATATGGAAAGTGACATTTGTAGATTGCCAGAGACTTGGAGTAAAGTAAAGAAGGCACTTTGTAACAGATTCTGGAGAGCAGTGGCTAAAATAAACTAAGCTTTTGTTAGGGGTAAAAACAAAGCCCTGTCCTTGGTTTATGAATAGAAACACCTGAACAGTATAGGATGGGAAAAGATGTACTTGTCAGCAGTAAGTTTGGAAAAGATTTAGGGTATCCATCTGGCTTATGGTTCAGGACATTCTGAGTCGAAGACGCCAAAACTGAGTATGGACCTTGGCTTTGGCCTTCCCTCGGGAACCCTGTGCTCGCATGGTCAGTCCAGCAGAGCAGGGAATGTGTGCTGGTCATCCACGTCTGGGCCGATAACGGGTTCTATTTGAACATATTTGGTTTAGTTGGACTTATTTTTTTTAGTTGATATTATTTATGATTTCAGTTGAAGTTACTTGTTTTATTGCCATTGGTATCTTTTTTAATACTATTTTTAAAATTCATTTGTTGTTGTAAGAATTTTCCCTTATTTTAATTTTCTTTTCTTTAACTCTGTTTCCCTTCTCCAGTTAGGCCTGCAATGCCCACCAGTAAATGCCCCCTTCTCTTCCAAAATAAAGAAGTTACAGTTCATGCTAAACTCGGTCTACGGCACAAGAAGTACATATACATCTAAATAATTGCCTTAAAGAAATTTTTTTTTTTACATGAAATGAATTGTTCCATATTGTGAAAATAAGAAAATTGTGGTGTGCTCCAAGGATAAATAACAAGATAAACTCAAAGGGCCAACACTGCCTGAACAAAGAGTTACAGGACTCCTATCACTCTGTCACAATGTGACCATTGCAATGTCCCAGAGCCCTCCCAAGCAGCATGCCCTGTCCCTTTCCCATCCCATATAAGGAAAGACATTAGCCCCATTTTTCTGCTGCTCAGCACACTGAAAGTATACATACTCTGCCCAGTCAGCAGATGACTTGCAGGTTCCCTGGCTGTAAAAACAGACAAGCAACCCATGCTCAGTGTCGACTTTCCCTGGCTACCAGGAAGTCGGCCCGCTGTTCTTGCAGCGACTCTTCTCTTTAATAAACTCTATCTTCCTTACATTCTGCCTTGTGTCTGGAAATTCTTTTCCAACCTGCGCTCGGACCACAACAAAAATAGCAATGAGAAGACGCTCAAGAGATGTTAAAGGAATTCCAAATTCCCCACTACCCCCAGCCTCAGGATAAAGTCTGCTCCATGTGACAACATGAATGTATAAGTGAATATAATCTTCTACGGTTCCAATTACCCAAGTCCTTTCGCAAAAGAATATCACATCCATGTTCCGTCCAACGGATAGATATTATCCAAGCTAAGTAAACAGTACACATTAGAAGGAGAAATGAGGCACAAGAGCAAGACACTTACCTCATTTTAGTCCGTGAAATTTAAGTCACAGAAGCTAGAAACTCTTGCTGGGATCCTGAGAAGACATCCCACAGAGGGTCCACACTCGGTTTCGCGAAATCTCCTTCCTGTCAGCTTGCCTGAGGTGGACTCGTGTGGCTTCTGGCTGTTTGGCCTCCCTGCCCCCACTTCTAGAAACAGCACTGCTGTTTGTTTAGAGAACTCCCTCTCCCAGCTCATGTGGCTCTCTCTGGAGGGGCTGCCAATCCCATTGCCATCCGGCACCAGCCACAGGGATGGCCCTGGCCCAGGCCCTCCGGGTACCACAGGACAGAAGGTCGGGTTGCTCATGCAGAAGCACAACTTAGTAAGCCTCAGACTCGTCAGTGACACTAAATTCTAAAGGACTGGTTCTCAAACCGTTACCAGTTGCAGGCATACCAGGGATAGAGCTGACGGGTGTGCACCATGTAGGCACACAGCACTGCCTTAGCAGAGATGCTCAGCTGAGGGCTGAGGAACACGACCCCAAAGCCTCATGTTGGAATTTTCAGAGAGACCTGAGGTTTGGAGGCTCTGATGTGTTTTCCTAGGCCATTGAACTTGGAAAGAAATAGGGAACATTCATATATGGGCAAAGATTTGGAAACCCTGACACCTGATACCTCCCTGAATATGGTATTTAAAGATATTTGCCAGGAAAATGAGAAATAAAATTAGAACAAGAATGAGGAAATCATAGGTGGAAAGGACTAGAAGTAAAACTGAAAACAAGTTAGATGAAAAGATGTACATCAATAATTGGCATAAATACACTTTTTGTTGTTGTCGTGCCGTGAGGCTTGTGGGATTCTAGTTCCCTGACCCGAGATTGAACCCAGGCTCTCAGCAGTGAGAACACAGAGCCTAACCACTGCACCACCAGGGAATTCCCATAAATACTCTTTTTATGTGAAACAAATGTTCTACATTTGACAAAAGGAATATATCACAGTGAAAATATAACAGTTAAATTCTTTACATTCTAAATGCGTAGTACTAAAATGTAAGCAAAAACTTATAAATGCAAAAGATATGAACAGAACGGTTGTAGAAGGCTTTGTCACCCCACTTTCCATTTGTTACCTGAAGTAGACAGGAATAAGTAATAGGTTTAGGTCAATAGAAATATATTTTAAACTTTGTGTCTTCATAAACAGAGACTATGTCTCCTTTTAGCCTATACACAGGCGGTTTAAAAAATTGACCATATACTGTACCAAGGTGCAAAGGAAACTAGCAGTAAATTCCCCAAAGAAAAGAGTATTCAGAGGTACCACATCCCACTTAGAAATAAAAAGGCACCCGGATAAGTAACTGTGGAAGCAAGGAGGAAGCAACTACAGCACAATGAGAAAAGATCACTGGCGTGCTTCAGCCAAAATTTTACTCACAGATAAATTCACAGACTTTAAGTCTTTAAAAAAGAAATTCTGAAAATACAAGGATGCAAGAATAAAGGAGGAAGAAGCACAAGAAGAATGAGAAGAAGAAGAAAGTTAATAGCAGAACATTCCGAATGAGAAAAATGAAATTGTAAAATCAAAGTTATGTTTTTTGGTAAAGATGAAAGTTTTTCTTTCATTTTATACTGTCTGTTCCCTGTGAAGGTGGAGGTTTTTATGTAATCATGATATCAGCAAATAAAGGCTACATAATTGTTGTTCCTGTATCGGGTAACACTTTCAAGGTCCTTCATTTGAGGAGAGGAAATAATTTAGCCAAACCTAATTGTTTATCCAATGTATTGATAAACAAAGGTCTTTGCTTTTAGAATATTTTGTTCCATCATTTTAAGAAAATAATTACTAAGGTCTTGTTTTGCTAAGTCCTTCAGTTTCTTGCCAAGGCCTACTTGGCTACCGTAAATATCTTATTTCTGTGAATTTTCATAAGATACAGTGACCGTTGTCGAAGAAATATTAATCAGTCGATCTAAGAAAGAAATGGAAAATTTTATTCAAGCCAAATTTGAGGATTATAACCCGGGAAGAGCATCTCAGAAAGCTCTGAGAACTGTTCCGCTCGTTAGAAGTCAAGGCACAGTTGTATAAGTCTTTTGAGATAGAGGGCTGTACATTAAATGACGTATTATTGACGGTTTACAGAATCCAGATCTAAGTGTCATCGTGGTCCGTTACAAAATCAAAAAGGAATGTTATCTTTAAGGAGTTATCTTGTTGATGCTACGAGAATGTTGCTGTTGATGGTCGAGCTGGTATTTCTGCCGATGGGGACGGTTTGGTGATTCATAATGCAGATACATGATGCACAGTGCGGGGAGAGAGGAGGCCAAAGGGCAGAGAAATTTTTTTATGTTTAAATTTTTCTTGTCTTGCCATAAAATATGAATTTTATTTCACACTATAAAGAATTAGAATAATTTTAAAAAATATTTTCTTGATCATTTGGAACGTCTACCTACTTATTACACTGGGATTTTTTCCCCCTTCATTCCTAATTTTTGTTTTAATTGAAGTATAGTTGCTTTGCAATGTTGTGTTAATTTCTGCTGTACAGCAAAATGATTCAGTTATACATATATATACAATCTTTTTAATATTCTTTTCCATTATGGCTTCTCATAGGATATTGAATGTAGTTCCCTGTGCTATATACAGTAGGACCTTGTTGTTTATCTATTCCATATATAACAGCTTACATCTGCTAATCCCAGCCTCCCACTCCATTTCTCCCCCAACACCCTCCCCCTTGGCAACCACAAGTCTGCTCTAT